TATGGAAATGTTCTAAAACTGATTGTGAGATGGTTGCAGAACTCAGTGAATATAATAAAAACCACTGAGTTGTAGACCTTAAATCACTGAATTGTAATGGTATGTGAATTATATCTCAATAAAACTTTATATACATATGTAAACTAAGTGGTAGTTAACATCCCTGGAATCCAGCTGACACATGCCCTAGGAGTAAGTGCCATGCCCTATAGTGAGGCCTCCTCTAAACCCAAAATAATAAACTGAGCTCTAACAAGATGTACCAAAAAAAGATGAAGTTAGGGTTTGAGTCCTGCCAATTTAAAGTTTGTGCTTTCTAGTGATCCACAGTAATAAAGTGTTAAACCAAACCAAACAACTGGCACAAAGTGATCACCCAGCAATTAAACTGTCTGCCAAAACAAGAATCAACACACTTGAGAATGCTAACAAATGAAAATTTCACTGGATTATCTTAACATCAAATTGGAGATGGTAGAAGAAAGAGTCAGCGAACACTAAGACACATCAATAGAAGCTACCTAATCTGAAGCACAGAGAGAAAAGAGGATTAAAGAGAAATGAACTATATTTCAGAACCTTAGTCATAGTATCCATCAGTCTAATACAAATATAATTAAAATATCACAAGAGGATAATAAAAAACCACCAAAAGAATAACCAAAAATTTCCCAAATGTGATGAAAACCACTAACTGATAGCTATAAGAAGCTTACCAGATGGCAAGAAAGATAAACATTAAAAGAACCATGTCTAGACCCATCATAGTCAAAATTCTGAAAGATAAAGATAAAATCTTGAAAGTAGTGGAGGATGGGGATGGAGGAGACACATTATGCACAGGAACAAAAAGTTTTTAAAAAGATAGCCAATTTCTCATCAAAAACTACGGGGGGGGGGTGTGCCTCGGTGGCTCAGTCAGTTAAAGCACCTGCCTTCGGCTCAGGTTATGATCTCAGGGTCCTGGGATCAAGCCCCATATCAGGCTCCACAGTCAGTAGGGAGTCTGCTTGCGATTCTCTCTCTCTCTGCCCCTCCTGCTCATGCTGTCTCTCTCTCTCTCTCTCTCTCTCTTTTTCTCTCTCTCTCTCTAAAATAAATAAATAAGTACATCTTTTAAAAAATAAATAATTTAAGACTGATGAATTACTGATTTCTACTTTTGAAACTAATAACGTATGTTAACTAATTGAATTTAAATTTAAAAAAATACTGAAAGAAACCAAAAAAAAGAAAACTCCTATTAATAAACTAGAAATCTCTTCTAATAAAAATAGATATATAAATGACAGATTATTATATTAACCAAATATCTAGAATAATCCAAATATCCATCAAAAGGGAATAAACAAATTGTCTTACATTCTTTCAATGGAATGCTACTCAGCAATAAAAAGGAGGTAAAAGCAACCAAAAAGCTAAAAGAAAAAACAGAATTCTGGTACAGTTCTATTTATGTGAAATTCTAGAACAGGTCAAAGTAATCTAAAATGTCATAAATCATGTCAGTGTTTGCTTGAAGGGGGGGAGTAGCCTGTGGAGATTATAAGGGGGGACTTTCTCAGGAAGCAGAGATAGGATTGAGGTGGTGGCTGCATGGGTGTCCAGATTTACTAAAGTGTGCACTTATAACCTGTGAATTTTACTGTATACAAATTATACTCAATAAAGTTGATTAAAAAGGAAAAGTGGGGAGCATCCCCACCGCTCAGCTGTGGCAATGTAGGGCAGCATGTGAAGAAACAGAGGACATGATATATGAAGTGTAGGAGTCTGGGCACTGACAGTTTACCGAACCCCCAGAAACAGACTGTGGAAGTAAGATCACGATATTTTCTCAGAAGCGTGCACTCCCTTCTGAACCAGAGCTACCAAGAGCACACCATCTCCCAGCTCACTCTGAGGGTGACCACCGCAGGTTTTTAAGGATGAAAGGAGGATGCCACTTAAGAACAGTCCTCAGCACATGGATGGTGAACAGTACGCTTCGAGAATCTCACTCAAAAGAAAATATTTAAAAAGCTGTCTAGTAAGCTTCTGACTAGGATTCTCTTTGATTTGGTTACAGTATAATAAACTGTATGTATCCAATAATGCCATGTTATTGAGGTCCAATGACTGCTGAATTGAGAGGCTTGTGAAGCTTTATTAAAGCCGTGCTTAACTATGAAAATAATACCAACTCCATCCCTTCTTTCCAGACATAACCAAGCTTTTGGTGATGTCAGCAGAATAAGTGACTGGCGATTGCACAACAGCATTTTTCGTGGTTGTTTAGGAGCATAATTAGAGCAAATGGCTAAGTGATTTCTGTGCAAGCACCCTGTGAAGTGCTTTCCACACATTCTGTGTAATCCTCACCATGGCCTCTTAAGGGCTTTAACAGACCAGAAAACTGAGGAAACTGAAGTCAAGTGGGTTTGGGAATATAAAGGAAAAAAGCGTGTACTCATTATAGGATATAACTTGTTTTTGATCCTTTGGGATACTATTTCACCTCACCAGACAAGCTTCTACAAAGTTTCAAAGACTCTTTTCTAGAAATAAAGAAATAAGAAGACAAGTGCCAGATATGAATCACTGCTGAGTCGACACCTGGGGCTGCATTTTATCAGTGGATTTAAGAAGTCTCTGTCTGGGCCACATTTCCACTCTGCACCTTTCCACTTCTGCAGATAGGAGTGGTTATAAACCACTTTCATACACACCGTCTCAATCCTACTAACTACTCTGTGAGTCAGGCAAGGCGGGGCTGAGTTGTGAACCCGTTTACGAATGAGGACAGGGAGACTTGCCCAAGCTCCCTGGTAACACAGGGGCAGAAACCACAGACTTCTGATTCCCAAGTGACTGCTGGGAGGCTGAGCATCAAGGAGTACCAGGGGCCTGGGCCCATGGGACATCTGCTCTTTGCCTAATATTTCCTATCTCAATTTCAACTCTTAGTGAGTAGATATTCAACATGAAGATGACATTCTAACTATCCTATTTGGCAAAATAACAGAAGGAACGCTAAGGCAGGCACCAAGAAATGACGCAGGTCATCTTGGTAAATAGTAATCCATAATATAACCTTATTTATTAGATGCTACAGATTCTAAAATGTACCATTATTTTATATCACTAAGAAAGAAAGGTTCTGGGATCCCTGGGTGGCGCAGCGGTTTGGCGCCTGCCTTTGGCCCAGGGCGCGATCCTGGCGACCCGGGATCGAATCCCACGTCGGGCTCCCGGTGCGTGGAGCCTGCTTCTCCCTCTGCCTGTGTCTCTGCCTCTCTCTCTCTCTCTCTCTCTCTCACTGTGTGCCTATCATTAAAAAAAAAAAAAGAAAGAAAGGTTCTTGAATTAAACTATGACACGTACTGATTTTAAGATGTGTCCTAATCTCAGATCTATGAAAATTTATCTTAGTACTGATAAAAGATGACAATTCAAGACCAGTTTTCTCAAACTGGGGATTATAATCTCTTCAGAAGCCACCAGCTCATTAATTTATCACTATTGTTAACCAGTAACAATGCTGAGTGCTGGGCCTGTCAGTGGGAAGACAGGAGCAAAGATGAGTAAAGGCATCATCTCCAGCATTCAGAACCCACCTCTCAGATCAGGTTCTTAAGGAGAATTCCAAGAACCAGGAGCTGCAGAGCTTTGAACAGTGTTTTTCATGTCTTCTTTATCTCCTCAAAGTCAAGATGAGTCAAATTATGAGACACTCAGTTCTTCTGGACCAAACTCTGAGCAGGTACCTGGAGCAACTCAGTGACAATTTCTTGACACTTCTTTTTTTTCCCCCCTCAGTGACAAATTAAAGACAGGCGCTAATACCGAGTACATACTAAGTGCCAGGAATTGTCCTGATTCACATCCATTATCACATTGAATTCCCCAAATAACCTTATGAGCTGGGCCTTATTAACCCATTAATAATGTTTAAAGGATGAAGAACTAATGGCTCAGAAAAGCTGAATAGCCAGAGTGTGGTTGATCAGGATTCAAACCTGAGTCCATTTTGCTTCCCAAAGGCCATGTGCTTTCTATTGGACAGGGGACAGAAAGCAGGGAGTATGAAAGCTTTTGAAATTTTGAAAATCATTGCTAAACTAACTTGAAATCTAAAAGGCTGATATTCTATCTAAACAATGACACAGTAAATAACAAAAGCCTTTGGCTACAGGACACCTCACTCAAGCTGGGGACCCGTTTGATCTGTAGGATGGCTGTCCACCTTTTGGAGGTGATCTGAGTACAGTCCTAGCTGCATGTGGGAAGACAACTTAGCCAACCACATAACTGGCAGTGAAAAAAGACGTGAACACAAGTAACTGCAACATAGGGCAAAGTGTGGAAAGGGCCATCATAACGAATGTCTCCTGAATGGTAACAGCTCTTTGGGGGGCCAACTTCAAGCCACAGAGAGATTATTTCTGACAGAGATGACCAGGGAGATGCCATCTGAGCTATATCGTAAGAATAGGTAGGTATGGATAGGAAGAGAAGGAAGGGGAAAGAAGGGGTCTGAGAGGAACAAATGGCATGAGCAAACACTAAGAAACAGGACTTCTGGTTTGGCTGCAAAATAGGGAAATGGCAGGAGAGAAATCTGGAAAGCTGGGTCAGGGTAAGATTTTGGAGGGCACTGAATAGCAGAGTAAAGATATGTGTTTGATAGGGAAGTAAGGAGTCACCCATGAATTTTGAGCAGGACAGGGGCCTAGAGCAATAGCAGGATTCATGTGGGAACAGGGTAAGAGTGTCCTTGTGGGGTGTGGTCCAGGGACACACAGCTAAGGGGGAAACTGAGGCCATAATTCACATCTGATCATAACTCGCACTCCGGCAGTGGTACAGAACTAGGAAGCAAGACAGATAACAATTCTAAAGGATTTAGGGGAGACAAAAACAAGGGAAATAATAGAAATGCTTTAGAACAGTGGTGCTTAGTCAGGGAAGACATTGCCCCCACCCAACACCTGGCAATGTCTAGCAACACTTTTACTTACCACTCCTCGGTGGGGGGGGGTGCCTCTGGCATCTGGGGTGTTGAGGTCAGAGATGCTGCTAAACAGTCCACGAGGCACAGGACAGCCTTCCTCAACCAAGAGTTATCAGGTCCAGAAACACCATTTTAGGACCATAAGGAAACAAGAGTGGTAAAGATGTGACACTGGCCCTGCAGCTCAAAAGACAAAAGGGTAAAGAAACCCAGGGGCTGGCCCCACACAGACTACAACTGCTCACCAAGGCAATAGACCACACGCCTTTTCATCATTCCTCTCATCTATGATCTTGTGCACCTGCTACCGGCCAGGCCCCAAGACACCTAGAAGGTGAGAACAGGCACAGTCCTCATTCTCAAGGCATCGCCACCGGGAAGGGAGAAAGTATGTAGGAAACACACCAATCTAGGGGCTCCTGGGTGGCTCAGTTGGTTAAGTGTCTGCCTTCGGCTCAGGTCATGATCCCGGGGTCCTAGGATGAAGCCCTGCAGCAGGCTCCTTGCTTCTCTCTCTCCTCCCTGCTCATTCGCTCTCTCTCTCTCTCTCTCTCTCCCTCAAATAAAGCCTTGAAACAAAAAAAAGAATGACTCCGAGGTTTGTGGCACAAGAAGGATGAGGCAGAGAAGGCTGTGGGAATGGCAGGTTTAAGGGAAGAGGCCAGAAGGGAGGCAGAGATGCCTCCTCAATCTCCTAAAGGAGATGTTTCTTAAGCAATTGGACACGCCAGTCTGAAGCTCAAGGGAGACAAGCAGGCAGGGGACGAGAATTGTGGGACAGGTAGGAGTGCAGATGGCATTTCCAGCCACCAGAGTGGATGGAAAGAGAAGGTCTAAGGGAATAAAGGAAACCAGGAAAGCTGCTACCAGTGAGAGAGAAGGGGAACTCGGAGATCACACATCAGAGAGGAGACGATGGTGCAACTGCCCATAGCGACCTGGAGGAGATCTTTTCCTATCAGTTCTTTTCAAATTATACTCAAGGTGGCTTTCTTGGATGCCTGTGCTAGGCAATCTGGGATGAAAGAGATGAGATCTAGTAACTTCGAGATGGTGCCAGTCATCTGGAATGACAGCCTAGCAAGGGACATGACTGAGTGCCTGGGATGTAAGGCTCCCGGGGAGCTCCTAAACCAGTTCCTTCACCATGTCTCAATCTGGTCATAGGCATGAGTGAAAACTATCCTACCAGCAGTGGCAGCAGTGGCAGCAGTGGCAGCATGCAGGAATGTTGTAGCTTTCCTCAAGAGCAGCTGAGGATCCAGCCTGGGCAACAGGTCAGGTCAGTGCTTCATATCTTGGACCTACCACTGGGCCTGGACGGCTTCCTCTGGCTTCCTGTTCTTTCTGCATTTCTGCCCTACACTGCATGCTCAAACTGCCTGTGCCATGCACGGTCACGGGATGGGTCTGAAGCACCGGATATGGGAGGATAAAACAGTTGAGAGGCTTTGGAATACTGCACATTTGCTACTTGCATGTAGTAGAAGTTACCAGAAGGAAAGCTACTGAAGTTCAAAAACTGTATCTTGCACCTCCAGCACCTGGGGCATGTCTGGGTCATAATTGTAATATGAATAATTCAATCATCATCAGAAAATCAGTAAGGGACGGCACTCATATTAGGCAAAATGGACCAATTTCTAGCAATGAAATTGCTATACAATTCCAAAGTTCATTGCCTTAGATCAACAATAACAAATATACACTGGAAAGCTTTTGAGCCCAGACATTGTTCAGATGCTGTTTTAGCTCTGAGGATGCAGAGACTTTTTAACAAGAACTAGGAGATGAACAGGAGACTTACAGATGGCAGGAAGGGCTACAGAGGAAACAGAGAGGGCCAGGGGACAGGTGGCAATTCTGCTCGGTGAGACCTCTCTGAGGAGCTGAGGCCTGGATGAGTGGGGAGGAGCCATCGGGCACAGAGAAAGGGTAGGAGAGTCCAGGCAGAGGGAGCAGCAGGTGCAGACGCCCTGAATGAGCTTGGGGTGTTTGAGCAGTATCAGGCACACCCATGTGGGGCAGGAGCTGGGTGTGACAGAGAGAAGTGCAAGATGAGGCTGGAGAGGCAGGAGCCAGGCCGTGAAGGGCTTGGTAGACCATTGTGAAGGGCTGGGTTGTATTCATTCATTCACTCATTCATTCATTCATTCAGAGTGAGAGTGTGTATGTGCAGGAGCTGGGGAGAGGGAGAGAGAATCTCAAGCAGGCTCCAGGCTTAGCACCCAGCCCAATGTGAGGCTCGATCTCAAGACTTGAGTCAGAGACTCAGATCATGACCTGAGCTGAAATCAGGAGTTGGACGCTTAATCGACTGAGCCCCCCAGGTGCCCCAGGGCTGGGTGGAGTTTAAGTTGCAGTGGACATAAGGAGGCTCATTCTCTGGGAAGTGTGAACGTTCCCTGTGAGTTTCAGGAATGATACACAGAACCTGTAGGAAACCCCGTTGGTGATGGCTCTGTTTCTGATGCCTCTGAGAGAGGTGCCATTCTCTTAGAGAAACTGGAAGATTAGGTTAGGAGCAACTACGTCAGGCCTGGGGACGGGTAATCTCTGAGGTTCGACAAACTAACAGACCCAAGCGGAGCCGCTAGGGACAGTCTCACCTCCAGTCTGGAGAAGGGTTTTTAGCTGGGGAATCAGGTGGGTGTCTGCAAGGGCAGAGGAGTCAGGAGGGCTGACAGCAGTTTTAAATGTCAGGATTACAACAGCCCAGGCGGCTCAGCGGTTTAGTGCCGACTTCAGCCCAGGGCATGATCCTGAAGACCCAGGATCGAGTCCCACGTCAGGCTCCCTGCTTGGGGCCTGCTTCTCCCTCTGCCTGTCTCTGCCCCCCTCTCTCTCTGTGTGTCTCTCGTGAATAAATAAATAAAATCTTAAAAAAAAATAAATGTCAGGATTAGAATGCCTCGAAGTGGCAAGGTCCTCTCCAGTTTGCCACAGGGAACTCTTCCTCACACATTCCTGTGTCACAGACCCTCTCCTCCTCCCTCCCTCAGGCTACCAGCTTGGCCTTTGGGGAAGTGTCAGGGGAGACTCCCACGTGTTTCCTTTCACAGGTCTACTGTACTGCTCTGTCTCACAGCAGCAGCCAGACCTGGGCCAGGGGAGAAAGGGAAACTCTCAAATCTCAGCTGCCCCTTTATATTTAAAACTCATTTTAGGGGCAGCCCAGGTGGCTCAGTGGTTTAGCGCTGCCTTCAGCCCAGGGTGTGATCCTGGAGACCAGGGAACGAGTCCCATGTCCAGCTCCCTGCGTGGAACCTGCTTTTCCCTCTGCCTGTGTCTCTGCCTCTCTGTGTGTGTGTGTGTCATGAATAAATGAATAAAATATTAAAAAATAAATAAATAAAACTTATTTTAGATTTGCTACCACAGAGGTTATCCTTTTAAGAGTAAGAAAATATGACATGTCAAGAATTTGAGCGGTTTCCAAACACAAGGAATATATCAGGATCTGCTTAAACACCAGGACTTGCTTGAGATGGTGAGTCAGCAGGACCCTTTCCCTCTTAGCCAGGGACTCTCTCCTCTCTCAACTCAACAGGCCCACATCCGAATCCACTCTCCTCGCACTCTTAGCCAGCCCTGAACATTTGTGCTCTCCTGTCTCGGGTCATTCCTCACACTGGGCCCCTCAATTCTTCTTAATGTATGATCAAAATATCTAAGCTTGGGGCACCTGGGTTTCTGTCAGTGAAGTGTCTGCCTTTGGCTCTGGTCATGATCTCAGGGTCCTGGGATCGAGCCCCATATGGGGCCCCTGCACAGCAGGAAGCCTGCTTCTCCCTCTCCCTCTGCCCTTCCCCCCTGCTCATGCGCGCGCGCGCGCGCGCACGCGCGCGCTGCGCTCGCTCTCTCTCTCTCTCTCTCTCTCATGCTGTCTCTCTCTCTCAAATAAATAAATAAAATCTTAAAAAACTAAACAAGACAAAACATCTATCTTGATTGGGCACCGTCAATGTTGATGAGAGTCCTTCGAGAACTGGCAAGTACATGCTGACTTAAGCAGCAGGTATGCTTGTAGCATCCCACACAAAACAGCCCCCATCTTTAAATGCAGAGCAAGTAGGGGCAGGGGGAGGGGCTAGGGAGTTCTAACTGCACTGCTAAGGGGCCTTCATCAGTGACCCTGTAACAGCTCACGCTTCCATAGCCCTGCGAAGTCCTGGGCACAGCTGTAGTGCTTTACATACACTAAGCATACTACAGCCTACCTCATAACAATCACAGAAGATAAGTATAAAGTTACTGTTTCTACTCTACAAAAGAGGGGACTGAGGCACAGAGAAGTCAGGGAACCTGCCTCGCCCAAGGTTACATAGCTAGCCACTAAGTGCTGGGATTCACACCCAGGCAAGGCCGTCTGACTCCAAAGCCCTGGTCTCTCTTATCTTTGCTTTCTATAGTCTCTGTTTTTTTTTTTTTTTTTAAGATTTTATTTATTTATTCATGAGAGACACATAGAGAGAAGCAGAGACACAGGCAGAGGAAGAAGCAGGCTCTCTATGGGGAGCCCAACTCGGCACTAGATCCTGGCACCCCAGGATCACACCCTGAGCCGAAGGCAGACGCTCAACCAGAGCCGCCCAGGCGTCCCTCTATAGCCTCTTATATCAGGGCATCTCCTGATAATACAATCTAGAACTCCTCCCCAGCCTCTTCTCCCCTCCCCCTGCCCACACCCCATTCACAGCTCCTGCTCCTGAATGTGACCTGGAATGTTCTAGTTCTAATGTGCAAAATCCCTTTAAAGTCTTAATTACCTTGATTGAAGCTCTTGCACCTCAAACAAGATTTGTGCAAAGTTTTTAGTAATTCATCACTGAAATTGTCCTGAGAGAAACTTCTCAACAGCAAAGTCTGAAACTGTAAAGACGATCTATGAAGGGCCTCATCTGAGCGGCAGCCTCCTGCAGCAATAGAAGCCTCCTACCAGTGCCAGGGTACTAGATGGGAGGTATTTGATGGGAGGAGAAATGCAGGAGGGTGCAGAAGTCCTGGTTCAGACCCAGGAGATGCCACAAGAGCAGGAACAGGAGCTCAGGCTGCTTGTGGCTTCTCCCCTTAAGTCCTGGCTTCTCCTCTGGGGGAGGAGGGCGGCAGTACACAGGATAATCCCCAGCCAGTGTCAGAAAAGCTTTGTTACCATACTTTTCGCTCCCCCAGCAGGAATCAGAGCAGATCTACCGACTGAACTTTCTAGATAACTCTAAAGTGACCTTTCGGGGCTAAAGTTTGTAAACTCAAAACTTCTAATCCACTGCCTTTTCTCACTAAGCCCAGCTACGCTTCCCAGGCCTGAGGAAATCTACTCCTGACCCCTTATCAATTAGGCAGACAAGAGCAACCTTTGAGGAGGTAGCATTTCTGGGGGCACAAGGGAGTTGCAGAGGAGAAAAGGACTGGAATCCCTTTTAAGAATGGACTCCCAGGGCCTCCCAGCAGGAACTTAGGCACCAGCCCCAAGTCACCCGAAGCTGGAGACAGAGCCTCGAGGTAATCCTCCTCAGGAGGGAGGCGGACAACCACAGAGGCTCCTGCCAGGCCGGAGCCCAAAGCCAGAAGCACAACCAGAGCTTGCAGCCTCAACCACAAACCTGCCTGCAAGACCACGATCTGTGAAACAGTGACTGTGAAAGCAGCCGCCGGCCCAGCCCGCCCCTCCGGTGGGAACTGGGAACGCACCTCTTTGATTGACTGCTTCCCCTCCCCAGGCTGGGGCCAGAGCAGAGGGGTTTCCAAACGGAACCAGCTAAAGCTATTGAAAAAGACAGCAAGTTAGCACTGGAAGGGGCCTCCAACACCCTCACTTTACGAGAGACAACTGACACCCCGAAAGCAGAAGCTACAATGCATCCAGACCCCCGACGCCCACCACCCCTCGCAATATAACCTTCAAGGTAACACCTCAGGAGAAGAGGCTAATGCCAAGAACCGACTTAGGTGGGGATTTGGGAGGCTGGGAGGTTTGGGGGCGCAAAAAGGAAGTCTGAGGAAACACCCCTGTGCCTTTAAGGACTGCGCTGCTGCCAGCACTACACTTGCTCTTAGGGGCTCCCAGAGCCTGGCGGGCAGGGCTGGGTAATGACCACTCAGCAGGGGCCCCGGGGACCTTTGATGGCAGCCTGAGTCTAGGAGTCCTGAACCCTTCGCGCATGGCACTTTGAGGGCCCCCCCAAGTACCAAGCCAGGTTCCAAGTCACCCAGGAGGACAAGAGTTGGGAAGAAAGCCATACAGGTGCAGCAGGGAGGAGAGACCAACTTTAGAAAGTCTAGAAGAGGAGTCATGCAGCACAGAAAGACTCAACTGCACCGGCAAGGGCAAAGCCAGGAAATGCTGCTGGAGCAGCCAGCCCAAGTGGCCAGACCGCCAGCCAGTGGGTCCAATTGGGGTGGAGGGGGTGGAGATTTAAATTTAGCCACGTAAACAGGGCCTCCACTGGAGGAGTCATCTACTCTGTTGGGGTTGGGGCACCTCTTGTGCGACAGGAACTGCCCCCCCACCAACAGCACGCCTGCTCCCAGGGCCCTGCCAGCACGGTAGTCACGCTGCTGCTCAGAGTTGCGTAGGTTATTTTTGCTCTAAAAGGTGGCTCAGATTGGAAACGATCAGAGCTTCTTACCTCCATCACAGTATCTATTCCCAACCCCCTTGCTGGATTTTTCTGGACTCCTGCATACAGTTTGGAGATGCTCAGTAGAAACCAGCCAAGGATGCCCAGGTAAGGCTGGGGACCCCATATTTGCTCCCTGCTAGGGGACCTTTCTATTAGTGCCATTGTGTGTCTTGAGAGAGACCTGAGGGAGTTATACTGCAACCACCGCCACCACCACCACCACTGCTGCCACCTCCGCCACCAAAACTCAGGGTTGTATTCAGGGGTGGAGCTGGAACAAAGGTGAGGTCTGAGGGAAGACTTATGTAGAAGACTGAGATAAAGGACGGGTAGTTTGAAAAGGAGCTGGGGAGAACAGAATCAGAGGAGCGAATAGGCAAGCTTTTGTGGACATGTTGGTTTTTATTTCAGAGGAGGCTAGAACTATCACCTCATATGAAAATTTCCTCCCCTGCTGGAGATGCCAGGTGTGGCAATCCAGAAACCAGAAGAACCATCCTAGAAGTAAAACTTAGAACTAGTCCTCTGCCCTTCCTGAAGAAGAGCAAACAAACAAAATCTTTCGACTGCCACTGCAGTAAGGGGGAGGGGCATGAAATACTGAGGTGAATAACCAACCATCCCAGAATTCTGCTTTTCACAGCATATGGCGCCCAGCAATTTGGCAATAGCCCTTTCACTTACACTTTTGGGATAGAAAAAATTTTAGGAAACAGTTTTTTCAAGTCAATAAGACACCCTTCGAGATATTACAACCTCCAAATGGACTAAAGAGGAGACTGGTCTCAGACACCCTGAGCAAACACCTAATGCACACACACCCTCAGTCATATATTCATACTCAAATATATAAGAAATAGAGCCTGGGAAAGTAGGAAATCCATGGATGGAAGAAGGCCAGCAAGCTCCTGCAAGGCTGGCTCCTGCTCTACTGGCAGTCAGAACCCCAGGCCTCCATCCAACCTGCCCCCAGTGTGGCACATGCCCTCTGTGTGATTTTCTTTAGGAAATGAAAGGGAGCTGTGGCTGCCCTTAGGTATTCATCCACAAATTGTCTCTTTAGGGTCCTTTGATTCCATTCAGCTCCTACCCTGGGGTCAGCACCACCCACACAGTTTAGTGCTGAGACCTGGTGTTAAGTGTGCCTCTTCCCTTGGACTCATGGACTTGGCATCACCATGGAGAGCCCAGCTACATGGCTCCTCGCAATTGTGCAAAAGAGGTCTCTCAGCATTGCCTTTCCTTCCCAGGAGACACACCTCCTTCTTGCTATTTATAACCACAAATCTTCTGTGTCAAAGACAGAACAGACATTATTTTCAAATGGAGGGAAACAACCACTCAGCCTTTCATAGGTTGGTATGTTTGCCAGGACTTGTGTGTTTGAGCCTGGACAGGCGTG